CCACCGCCACCGCCGCTGCCACCGCCGCCACCACCACCACCACCACCACCACCACCACCACCACCACCACCACCGGACCATCGCCGCATCGCCATCATCGTTACAACTGTGACCCATCACACCACTACGGGTCACCATCCATCCATGTCATCAACATGACATCAGAGCACAGATCACCAGCACCAGCCTGCTTTACACAACCATTGCACCTCTACTACTTTACACTGAGCCAGGCAGGCATGGGGGACGGCATTACGATTCATCACGATTTCTGTTTTTTGGGGGCACAATCCAATTACAGACTATGGACCAGTGACCACTAGTTATCTCATGCCCCGGTTGCCACACCTAGCAGCTAGCATCAGCCAGGCGTGGGGAACCGCATTACGATTTCCCTTTTCGGGCACAAGCTACTTTACATACTATAGATAACATACTAGTGATGTTCACGCAAGTTGATCCAGCCTTCACTTGCACAATTCTGCACTCTGCGCAACTACCTGTTGCACTATGTCATGTCACTATGTCTCTGTTGCCCAATCAAATGCCGTTATGGCTGCCTGGCCTTGATGGCAGCGAGGTCATGGAAGTGAGTCGTGAACTTGTCGTGAACTCATGAAGTAATGAAGGCGGAATTTGCAAATTAGAACAATTCCCTCTGCAACTAGGGTTTAGGGTTTGGGTTTAGGTCCAGGTACAGGTACCGTTCAACTGTGCAACCCACGACCCACAGCCATCACGCTGAAATTGCAGCATAGAAGCCAACAATCTCTCGAAGGCCTTGCAGCTGGACATGGGCAGAATGGCCAGATTGATCTTGAACATTTGCTCCTTCCCGGTCTTGGAAAGCAACCATTCGATCTTCCTTTCCGTAGGGATCGGACGGGTTGGAACCTGCAGCAGGCGAAATGCAAGAACCCGTCTAGCCTCTACTTCTTGTTCCAACCCAATCTACAACATGTCTTTTTCAGGTGGGCTCGGTGGGGGCTTGGAGTTGTCGAAGGGTCCAGTGTACTAGTGTACCAGTGTACCAGGTACAGGGGGTAAATGAATAGTAG